TCAAATCATGTGACCATTTCATAATAATAAAACATCATTCGAATTAAATATAGGATATTACGAAATAATGTTAAAGTTAGACCTCAATGTTTAATCGAATAGTAATTTTAGTTCATATTATTTGTCTTTAAGCATTTTAAATCTCAATATTTCAAATTTTTTATTAAGATAACACATGTTGAATGAAAATCGTTAGTTGGCTAAATAACACATATTGCTGACAAGACGTTTCAACATGTAATTAATTGTTGACGTGTCATATGTTACATCATCACCTTAAGTGATATAGTACATACCACTTCATCACCTCAAGTGATATGGTACATGACACGTGTAATCCCCAGACCCGGTCTGTAATTTAGACCCAAACCTAAGTGGTCACATATCCCATTCAGAGATATTTTTTTTATTTCTTTAAAATATCTTACAATACATTAGATATAATACAGAACGAAATGTATTAATACAGATATATCCAAAACGATAGCAAATACATGTCACCAAACATAACTGAAAAACATATATAGATATAAGTTCGTACAAAATAAGTAGTTGATCTCCCCTGATGCCAAATCTGCTAGCTTACGGTCAGTTGTTATCTGAAAAAGGTAAAAATTATAGAATGAGCTAAAAAGCCCAGTGTGCCCCATACAATGTATAACACATACATAACAAAATAATTCAGATAAGATAAAACAATTTATCAAATATATTTTAATAATATGCACACTACCCCCATCTAATCACCAAAATGTGTAGGTTCACCTGAACCGTACAACACCTATACACCAGTAAGGCTTAACATGTGCACAAAGCAGAGGAGCCTAGGAAAACTGTAAGGTTTATCCTTGTACACAGCAAAGGGACCTGAGAAACTGTAAGGCTTACCCTTGCACACAACAAAGGGACCTGGTAAATTGTAAGGCTTACCTTCGCACACAGCAAAGGGACCTGGGAAACGGTAAGGCTTACCTTCGCACACAGTAAAAGGGACCTGATAATACTTCCTTCAATTGTACCCCCAATGACAAAAATAAACATGTATGCATTGGAGTAAAAAAAGGTAATTAATCCATTAAATATGGAAATGTTCCATATTTATAAATCATGTACAAAAATACTATAACTATAAACCATATAAAAATTATACGGTAAATCAGACATTTAATAAACATTATTCAAAATACCGAATATTTCCTCATAAAATATATTATATTCTCATAATATAAACCAGTTCAAATATATAGTTTAAAATTGTAAGATAACACTGTCAGGAAACACAACTGTAACAGTCTGAGAAATCAGATAGGGAAGCTTATTACTGGTTTTGTCGATCACGCTCTGCTGCAGCGCTAGATCCTACGAATTGGAAAAATCCATATTGGAAACCTAATATAAATAATCTAAATATTATTTAAATAATATACGGAAACCTACGGGTAATTCTCGTAGTACGCGGTTCAGGCTGATCTAACGAACGGACAACACCTGACCTAAATGATCCTTGCTCAGGTGAAACACGAGTACCTTCATAAAATATTTTTATTGAATCAATTCCTTAACCAAATCTAAAATAAATAATCAAAATATTGAAATATTAAGCCTTTTGGGTTTACAAGCTAGATTCAGGAATTTCGGGTCAGAATTTGACAAAACGGACTTCAGAATCAGATTCAGGACGTCGAAAAACATAAAGTATGATCTTTCAAAATTCTGAATTCTTGGTCAAAATCAAAGTCAACGGGTTTGACTGACAATTCTGAGACTTTCAGGTTTGAATTTTGTGAAACCGACTCCAAAAACGGATTCGGAACGTCAAAAAATGTTAGGATATGTATTCTCGAAAAAGATTAACGGTTTTTAATGACCGGTCAAAGTTATGGTCAAAGGAGGTCAACAATCAACCAGTTTACAGCACAATTTTTAAAATAATTCCCAAAATAGCACCTTTTTTAAATTAAATTTCTAAAATAGCACTTTTTGAACTAAATTCCTAAAATATTACTTTTTCGAATTAATTCCCAAAATATCACTCTTTTCGAATTAATTCCCAAAATATCACTCTTTTCGAATTAATTCCCAAAATAGCACCCATTTTGAATTAATTCACAAAATAGCACCCATTTCGAATTAATTCCTAAAATGTCACTCGGTCAACGATCAACTATCAGGTCGGGTAGGGTCAAAACCGGACAAACCGGTCAACCCTTGAATATAACCGGTCAAACCGGTCATTTTGGGCTTCCCCACGCGCAGTAATGACGCGTGGGGGCGCGTGGGATCATTTCTGGTAGCGTAAAATTCACGGAAAAATATCTAAAAATTATTTTGAGCAATTTCGAGATATTTACAAAGATCGTTTCAAATTTTTGAACGGCGGAGAGCTCGATTTCATCAAATCGAAAACTTTGACCGCTTCACCTCCCCACGCGCCGCCGTCGACGGAGACCGAGGATGACAACGGCGGACTCGGAACGACACAAGGAACACGATGGTGCGGGAGGTGTCGTAAACGAAGCAACGATCGGCGATGAATTTAAGATTTTCTTGGCGATTGAGCTAAAACGAATGTCGAGACTTTGACTGGAGATTCCTGGCGTTTGGCATCGTTTCACCTTAATTAATTTAAGGGAATTGTTCCTCACTCGATAACGAACACGATGGTGGTTTTAAAACGACGATCGGAATTCGGACGGCGTCGGGATCGTAGTCGGAAGTTGAGGTTGGGGAAGGGAGCTTTGGGAAGTGGTTTTCTGTTTTAAAAACAGAAAACCACGTATATATAAACCAATATGACCAACTTTTCTTGGGTAAATTCAAGGCTTGGTCCCTGAATTTTTTAACTCTAAAATAAGCTATAAATTTTAAAAACTTCTAATTTAGTCCCCAAAATTTACCAATTTTCACAATTTACCAATTTTCACAATTAAAACCTCAAATTTCAATTAAATATTATTTTGAAATTTTTGGGTTGTTACAACACGTCACTAATTTAACAGATATAGAAATATCATGTCAGCAACATTGATCGTTAATCAACTAATGGTTTTCATCTAATATTAATCATTTTTCTAACATTAAAGACAAAAATGCTTCAAAAAGAAAAGTATATAGACTAAAATGATCACTCGAACAATATTGAAGTTTAATTTGAACATTATAACTAAATTGAGGGAGGGAAGACTACGGTGGTTTGGGCATGTCCTTAGGCGATAACCGTCGAAGGCGGTCAGGAGGGTAAAGTCGATTACAGTCGATGGTGCTAGAAGGAGATGACGACCAAGGCGGAAGTGGGAAGACTGCTTGAGATCTTATTTGAAGGATTTAGCCCTTACCGATGACATAACCTCTGATAGGAAATTATGGAGACTTAAGACCAGGATAGTCGATTAGTGCGGGTCACATCCATAGGGTGTAACATTTATGTCTTCTTTTAATGCATTTGTAGTAATTTTCATGACTTCTACTTTTTATACGTTTCTGTCATTGGAATTAATGAAGGCTTAGAACTAGGGTAGCATATTAGTACTACCTTAGTTTAGGTTTTAACCCATTTGATTTTATTCCTTCTCGTAGCTTGCTATCGTTGACCTTTGTGTATCATCCTCTTCATGTTTCCTCTTTTTAATTTTAGTCGGGTCTTACGTTTCTGTCTATATGCAGAGATTATTATGCAGGGATTTATTAGCAGGGATTACTTCCCATTACAGACGCGCATATGAAGACTGTATATGAAGACTGTTCAAATATGTATTTTACTATTTATTTATACATGCATTGCATTTTATCTTTATTTTTTATTTTCTGACTGCCAGAGGTCTTCCACAGAAGCTGCCTTTAATCATGCGTTGGGGGCAGCCTACTATCCTACCTTCCTCTTATCCTATTGCATATGGGAATAGTGTTTTGTTGTTGTGTAGACCAAAAGAAAAAAGAACTTTAATCGGTCAATTTGCATTGCAGAATAATCGTTATTTTCTAACGGAATTTGATTTGGTGGGTCATATTCAACGGGTTGTAAAGGTTTCCTTCGTTCAGTTTAACAAATTGTTTGATAAAACCAATAAAAATGTTAGTTAAAATAACCCCACATGAATAGGATATTAAATTAGTCAAAGGGTGTTTCGCATTAATCACCCATTAACCAATGAATTTTGTGCACATTTTTGGATCAATCTTCTCCTATAAAGAAGTAAGATTTCGCCTTTCATACCATTAACAAACCAAACTTTAAAACCTGAATCTTTTGAATCACACATTAAACAAATTAGATAATATTTGTTTAGTTTATGAATGGATCGAGGTGTGTTGTATTATACCCTTTAAAAATTTTAAATTATTTTATATTTTAAGTATTTTTTATATTTTCTTATTGAATATCTAATTTCGTATCTCTGAAACTTCATAATTTTATTCCCTTAAATTTATGATATAACTTCTTAAGTTTACATTCTTAACATAAATTCTTGTGTCTAAATGTAATAAATGATTGAAGCTAATACATGTATTTGAGTTCTACATTGGTATTGCCAGTTGGTTTGATCCATTTATAGAGTGTTCACTACAAAACCATGTGAACACCACGATTTCTAAACCAAACTATCACCATCGAATCCACAAAATCTCAAGGGATTGCTTAATTCCCAAGAAACTTTTGCATCATTACAGGGATATTTTCTCGAGTTCAAGAACAGCTAAGTAAGGAAGAACCTGGGTTCCTGTTATTCGTCAGTCTTAATTTCTTAATTTAGTTTGGTTTATTTTGAGTCGTCTTCTGTTTCTATTGATATATGGCTTAAGTGTGACCGTCAATTATCAAATCGACGGCTGAATCCATGTCTTTTCTCCCGTTTTCTTTTCTTCTTTGTTCTAAACAAAACCAATCAAGAACAAGCTTTATTTGTTTGCCTATGATCGTGCCTACTGCTTCAGAAAATGTCTACTTGAGATTTTTTTTTATTGTAAACATTATAGAGAATGCTAAAGTTTGTGAATTTGTGTTGTTTGTACTAAATACGGGGCATATTATGTCCAAGTTTGAGTTCAAACGTAGTATATTGTCTGTTTTATGATCTGGATTCATGTTGAGTTCAAATTATTTGGATATTTCAGACATATAAAGGATATTAAGATTAAGCAACATGTTGGCTGCTCAATCAGCAGTATGGAGGTTAAAATTTACAGCTATAATGTTATTTGGATTCGTTGTCGCGGTATCGGTGCTTGTTACAGCGGAACCAAGTTCGAGTCACCAAGATTCAAGTTCGTCGGAGAACAACTATGTTCAGAAAGAGTTCAAGTATTTGGAGCTTAGCAATGGAAAACGTTATGAACATCAGTGGCCAGTAAGACCAATATTTTTTATGTCTTTCATGGTATGATGAATCTGGGGATATTTTTGAGTAAACTATGAATTTTTCTTCTTTTATATTCCTCAGAGAATGAGATTTGGCTGGAAAGTTGTGGTGGGTTCAATACTTGGATTCCTTGGTGTTGCATTTGGGAGTGTTGGAGGTGTTGGTGGAGGAGGTATTTTTGTTCCCATGCTTGCATTGATCATTAGGTTTGATGCCAAATCATCAACTGCAATCTCTAAATGTAAGAATCTATCCATTTCCCCCATCAACGGCCCAGTGTTTTCGAATTCGTCATAAACCATTTGATTTCCTTTTTTTTTGGCCTTCTGGTTAGGTATGATTACTGGTGGCAGCAACAACATAAGGCAAAGGCATCCTACACTTGAATTACCTCTGATTGACTATGATTTGGCCCTTCTTTTCAAACGTTGGTCCTAGGAATTAGTATAGGGGTTGGCTTCAATGTGATCTTTGCTGATTGGATGATCACAGTTTTGCTAATTCTCGTCTTCATCGGTATGAAAATGTTTAGATTCTGATGAATTCTCTTCACGTTCGCATTCCGAAAATCACCTTTTCTGATAGCCTATACGGATTCACAGGCATGCCAATTAAGTCATTCATCAAAGGAGTTGAAACATGGAAAAAGGAAACAATAAAGGAAAAGGTGGTTCCTTTTACAGGCCTAAGCTTATGTATGCATGCATGTAATTCTACTTACTTGTTGCTCTTTCCTTGTATGATCTAATTTTCACAGGAAACTGCAAGACAGATAGAATTAACTCAGCAATAAGTTGCCACAGAAAACAAAGTAGTAAAACCCAAGGTAAATTTCACTCTATTGTTTGGAACCAATCACAATTTCTTCTCAATAATCCATTACTTCTTCTGCAGGTGTCTCTTATTGAGAATATATGCTGGAAAGAACTTGGACTTCTGTCTGTTGTTTGGATTTTAGTCCTTGCTTTACAAATCGCTAAGGCCTTTCTTCCCAGTGGTCTATTTCCCATACAATAACAAGCTGTGTGCACTTTTAACATTCCCCAACTAAAACGAAATCCGAATATGTTTTGAACACAGAATTATTCGACATGTTCGGTAGAATACTGGGTATTGAATTTCTTACAGGTACATGAAAATTTCAAAACTCAACACAGCTTAACCATGAAATCCTGTGTCATGCAACTGATTATACATTGGTTTTAGATTCCGGTGACCGTCGGTGTGTCGTTGTACGAGGCGGTGCTCCTTTACAAAGGGCGGAGAGAAATAGCATCCAAAGGGGATGTAGTGGCGAACTGGCGAGTTCACAAGCTTGTGATTTATTGTGGATTTGGTGTTTTGGCTGGCATACTTGGTGGGGTGCTTGGCCTTGGAGGAGGCTTCATTTTGGGTCCTCTTTTCCTAAAGATGGGAATCCCCCCCACAGGTTATTTCAATCCCTTCTCAAAGGCTTCTCTGTTATTTATCGTACTTGCATAACAAATAATCATGTGTAGGTATCAAGTGCAACATCGAATATCGCAATGCTATGTTCGGTGTCGATGTCGGTGGTTGAATATTATCTTCTGAAAAGATTTCCGATTCCTTGTGGTACTATATTGCTCTGCTTGAAATGCATGATTTGGTTTTAAAATGTGGTAGAGATATAAATACATACACATTGACTGCAGTTGCTTACCTTGCTGGTGTGGCCACAATTGCTGCTTTTGTTGGGCAACATGTGGTGGGGAAAGTCATCAAAATACTAGGCAGACCATCCACAATCATCTTTATTCTTGCTGGGATGATCTTTGGGAGTGCCATTTCATTAGGCAATTATTTCATTCTTTTTCCATTTCAGATATTGAAATACTTGCAATAAAATCCAATTGAAAACGACAGGTGGGTTAGGCATAGCAAAGATGATCACAAGGATTCAAAGAAAGAAGTATATGGGATTTGAAGACATTTGCTCCTACCGGCCTTAGCACCAATTTCAAATTATCATATATTTTAGATATTTTCCCTTTATTATATATTTTTGTCTCTTAGAATATTTTAAAATTGTTCTTTCCTAAAAATTTAAAATTTTTCCTCTTAACATAAAATATTACATTTGTTCATGTAAAAGTGTATGTCTCCATCTCCTAACTCAGTTGTCAACTCACCCATGTCCTAGGTTTTTTTTCCTTTTAATATATTGTGTCAGTAGTAAACATAAAATATACAAGAATTCAAGGCCTTCTTATGTTCTAGATTTAGAACTTGCCTAATATACCATTACCATACAGTTCTTCGCAGATCTCACTCCTATCGTAAGAGGATCTATGTTTGAAGACGAACGTGAAATTACACAAAAATTTAGATAAAAAATAAATAATTAGTCGAAAATATAAATCAAACCACACTTTCTCTTGGGTTAAAATAAGATGATGATTGCAAAATAAACTAATATTACCAACTTTAAATTATTGCATACGGGAGCATTCCTAGCACGATACCAAGAACAACTTTAAGAGACGAACCTAAATCTATCTTGAAACTGGAAAAAGGCAAATACCCAGATGAAAGAAATCAAACATGATTGTAGATCTCATAGGTAAAACACCCAATTTAAAAGTACATTTTCTATGTCCACGTGCTAGCTGGTCGATTGTCTTCCCTTTCGCTGTTAGATAATTTCATTCAATACTTGATGAGTCATTATCAGAGTTATAATTTCAACCATATTCGTTGAAGTCAACTCATTTAGGCTCCAATAAATAATTGGCATTTTGAATAAATTAGTATGCAAACATATTTTTCAAAAATTGGGATGCAACTTGGTGATATGTTTTATAATATTATAAGTTAATTCAAATAATTCACACTATTAACCTTTTTAATTTCTTTTAAAAAAACGCCCATCCCATCTCATCATGTTAAAACCTTTTTGTGTTGGAAATAATACTTTTAAGAAAAATCCATGTCATTATTCAGATAACAATATGAACTAATTGAGCAAACTGATATATAATATAAGTAAATAAACAAATTCATCAAAACCATATAGTTTGACCAAGCTCTTGCATTTACCGTAACAGTAATGTTATCCTGATCTAGAGCAAATACATCATATTTCCACCATGTCAAATGGTCTCTTATTAACTGAAACTACAACCCAGGATTTAAATTGCAGTTGCAATTTTATTTTCAGTTACCTTTATTACAATTGCAGAACGATCATTGCAAGTATCATGGTTGTGTAACAACAATTTCGGACGGCACTTTTACCACCACTATATAGTAGCTGCTATTCTAATATCAGACAACAATTTAAATCCCAGACTACAACTATTTCTAAACCAAGAAAATTTAAATCACATTTGCAGAATTTTACACAACACCATATTACAATGCTGAATCGCTTCAACTAATTCAGTTCGGAGTAGGCATGAAGAGAACTTAACAAAATGATGATACTCAAAACCCATACTTATATCAGACACTCCCACCTAAATTCGAGTAAAACATAGTCACAATGAAGCTTTTCTAGAGCACTATCATTTACCATCTAACAGGTATACATTAATTACATCATGAATGTTCTATTTTGTGCCTTGTAATCAATCACCAAGAACATACTTACTCGTCACAGAGTGATGCCATTAGGTCATGGGGCGATGCCCAAATTGGAAGATCAAAATAAGTTTGTTTAAATCGCTCCTCTTGCGCATTGCACATTGCTTCGGCTACGTCACACAAATTGGATACGTCACGGATTATCATTTCTTGTGATTCTACCTGCATTTCAACATGGTCTCAAAAACTAGGGGCAGATACCCTAAATCCCAATAGTTATATACATCTCGATGCTTAATTTGATTTTGCTATAGACAGAATGGAATTTGGCAACGAATAAGTAACCCTAAAATTAAAAGGAAAGTACAAAAGCAGTAAAATTACCTGCGAAAGAAGCTCCTCGACCAAAGAGCCAGAAGCATTATCCTTCTTCTCCGACACTGAAGACGCCGCCGTTCCTTCTGTCCCTCTTGATCTCATTCTTTCTTGCTGTTGGATTCGAAACCCTAAAGCCTTATCTTGCATTGCCTTCAAAGTCTCCGACAAAATCTCCCACTCCTCGATCTCTTTCTTGTACTTTTCCTTCACTCTGAGAAGGTTTTTCCTCTTCCACTCTCTCCTTCGTGTCTCCTCTTCCTGGGGATCCGCCGTCACCGGTACTGGTTCGGTAAGATCGAGGCGGCGCTTCTTGCGTTTGTAGATGAAGCCGTCGTCGTTGCAGAGCTCCCACTCGTCGTCGGGGGTTTTAGAAGAAGAGGGCGGGTCCATTTTGGGAAATTTTTAGTAAAATGTGTGTTTTTGGTAGCTAAATATGAAAATTTCCAAAGAGAAGGCAGGGACAGAGGAGCGTATGATATACGCTTCTTGCAGGTTGAGCATTTATTTAATTGGACTGGGCCGAGCCATTAAAAAACGAAACAAATGTCGTACTATATATATATATATAGGGGTAAACTGTGCAAATAGTCCTCATTGTTTTCAGTCTGATTGATTTTAGTCATCAATTTAAAAATTAAGGACACATTGTCTCCACCATTAACTCTCGTTAATCCCTCAACAAAAGTATTGAGTGACAATTAATTTTTTTTTAAAAATTCATGTTCTTCTTTAGCCTCCTTTTCTTCAAACTAACAGTATGTTAACTTCAGTTAGCTTGTCAACTCATAACTCAACATTAACCATAAAATATGGCCACTTTGAGCACTAACATTAGTGAAAAAACCAGCCTACTTATAAGACAAATATGACCGCCGTTTAGTCCTTTCCTTTGAGCTCAGTTTTTAACGTAAAGTTTTTCATGAGTTGAAGGCAACGCCGTTTTACCAACGACGAAGAAGAAGAGGATGGTTTAAGAAGACGAGCACGTCTTTTTCGTTGCTACTTCATGGGACCTTCAAATCTCTGAACCTCCAAAACTTGGAAAATCTCGTCGAGTTACTCTCAACTCATCATTATGCAAGTTTTCTTCTTTCAAAAAGTGTTCAACGTCAACCCATCTCTTCTTCAGTCCCCACCGTCCATTCTCTTCAACACCCTTACCGCCAATTGTTGCTGACTCGGGATTGAAAAACCTTCATGTTCGTAACGTGTAAGAGCTCAATGAATCGCTTTTGTTATTCCATTAACAACCTACTCCATTAATAATAAAACTCCACCCACAACACTCATTATTTTCATGCTCTTATAACATCAACTTCCTCCCTCTATTCCCATTGTATATATATATATCCACCCACAACAAAAGACAAAAGTTCACTGTCATGGTCAGATCGTACATACAAGCCACCTCAGCAACAATCTTTTTTTGGTGTTGATGAGAATGGGCGGTGGACAAAGATGCGACGATGACGAACCTTGATTTCGAAGAAATAAATATCTTCCCCTTGGAACCCCAAGTGAAGGCAAAGCAACGGTGTGACTCGGATTTAGAGCAATCCAATATGATATTAACGACCATGATATCTTCTTTATCAATGACAGTGATACTGCTACATCTCTATTCTATTGTTTTCACCAACAAAACAAAGAGAAAGAAAATTAACAATGGAAGAGAACAAAAAAAGGTCTGCTATACAAAAGAAAAAGTAAAGAGCATTGAAAACATAGCGAGAGGAAGACAAGGAGATTTAGAAACTTGGAAGAAGGAAGAATAATATAGAAGAAATATTGGGTAAGGGATGGAAGGCAGTGTTGAGTTTAGTCTCTCTAGAGTTTGTGGATTTTGGTTGTGGACGATTGGTTTGTGAACTACAATTTTTTACTCACTATTGAAGATGAAGAAGAATGTGGATTTTTTTTTTAAATTCCACGTCATACTTCCGTTAAAGAATTAACTATAGTTAATGGTTGAGAGATTAAACTCAAACAAACTAATGAAGTTAGGGACTGGATCGATAACATTAGGATCATATACCCTTAATTTTTAAATCAACAACCAAAGTCGATTAAACCAATAACAAAAGGAACTATTCACACAATTTACCGTATATATTGAGATTATATGGTTTGGTATCAAGTTTAACTAAGACGTTGAATTTTGTATTCTTTTATTTGCCCCAAAAGTATTTATTTTAGATTTTTTGTTTGGTATATGAGTTAAGGAGAACATTCAATTGAGTAGAGTTGAGTTGAATTAAAAAATCTAAGTTATTCGAATGGACGAATCTTATCTTGATTTAAAAAAAATCGAGTAAAGTCAAGTTTATAAAATTAGAGTTGTTTGAGTTTATGTTTAAATTTAACTGTAAATATTTATAATATTATGATATCATTTGATTTTAATTTAAACAATTTTAAATGATCATATAAATACATATATATTTCTTCATTATTTTCATATGTGATATAAATATACCATATAAAGTTGAAAATTTTGATTAAAATTTGAAAATCAATCCACTTGTTATTAAAAAATGTTAAATTATTTGAGTTATATTTTATAACTCGGCCCGAATTTAAATTTTTGTATCGAGTCGAATTTATAAAATTATGCCTCAGAATCAATTAGAATTGAATCGAAAAGATCAAGATTTTGAGTCAAACTAAAAGGACCAATTTTTGGAATAAAAAGATGGAGTTTTATATGGCTCCCTAAACCCATCATTAGAATTCATAATCTCATGAATTAACCCAACTTTCATCAACTTTATTTTCTAAATATATAAAAGAAAGCAAACAAACCAATGAATTTGATAAATTAGATTGGGAAAAATACTGAATTAGCTAGGTTACTGTAATTGCCAAATTATTAACAACCCCGATATGAAACCATCAAGCTATTTGTCAAGACAAAAGTAATAAATAATTCTTTAGCATCAGACAAAACTAATATATAATTCTTTGATTTTAATGTTGATTGTCGATCGTTAGTTGTCTTTTTTTTAATAATAATAATTATGTGTTTGTGACATGTTTATCTCTACCTTTTTAGTACGTTTATTTTTACCTTTTAATAGTTTTCATCGTTTGACCGTTGTTTTTGTTTATCTTTTCTCTTAAGGCTAGATTTGACATCATCATTACTGATCCAGATAAAGTTTATTTATTAGCATGTTGATCTTCCTTGCTTTGGACCCTTAGATGGATTTGGATACGCATTTTACGTTTGTGGATAATTTTCTCACGTTACTTCACTATGATGTGTGTTTTGTCGGTGAGCTTTCAATAGTTTCACCCCTTTTGTGGTCCGTTTGTTGATACGGTCAAATTTGTTCGTATCTTTATTTTATTCGAACATTTTGATATAGTTTTTTTTAACATTCTCTTTCTTTGGTCACAATATAATTTAAGTAGATAATTTTTGTGTTAATGGTTATTAAAAAATATATTAATTATAATTTAGTTTACGATTACGATTATATTTGTAAATCTCATTGCAATTTTAAATTTTTTTATTTTTAAGAAAACTAGGGGTTTGTCTATGAAAAAAAATAATGCAACCTTCTTTATCCAATCTGCAACTGCAAGCATTATAAAACGTCAACTATCAGCACCAATAAAATAACAGTCCATATGATAAATTGCAGAAAAGATCAGCACCATCCTTTTTTTATTGTCAATCAGCACACATATAGTTTGGGAAAGTGCATCCTAATATATGGTTAAGAAAATGTGTTATCGGAAATATTATTATATTTTAATAATTTCGGTAAAAAATTATCTAAAATATTATTTTTTTTCTACCAGAAATATTATTATTGGACTCTTTACTAGGTTTGTTAATATATCCGGTAAAACATTACCTAAAACATTATTTTTTCTATCGAAAATATTAAAATTAGGCATTTTACCGAAACTGTTAAAAGATATTAATGTTTTAAGTAAAAAAAATATTTTAGATAATTTTTTTACCATAAATATTAAAAAAATAATAACATTTTCGATATTATATTTTTTAATCGTATATTAAGATCACCGGGACGTAACTTCTCATGAAGTATAGATAAAGCAAAAGCTAATAAAGGATTATTAAAAATGATATGCACATTGTCCCACTATGTGCTTGTCTCATCATGCCCACAAACAAAACACTTTCAAAGAGAGAAAATGGAAAACCATTGTATGTGTTTTAACAATTACTTCTTCTAAAAAAATAGAAATACCCAAAATTCTATTATGAGTTTCAAGCACGTTAATACATTATTAATCTAATTTTCGACGTAACTTAAATGCATTCTTTAAGCTTATTTCTTCATTTAATATATAATTAATTTAAAGAATTCATTTTTATTTTTATAATTTTAACTTTCTTTTAATTTAATACTAAAAAGTAAAAAGTCTAAAAGTGAAAAAATAAGTCGCCAGGATATACTAACAACTTTATCAAAAATTGTTTTTAATATTTAAAATAATAATACTTTTCTAATTTTTTCAATAATTTAACTAATTGTCATTCCTTATTATTTATTGAAGGGGTCTCCTTATATTTTAAAAAAAATTATATTCATCATATTTATAGAATGAAAAAATATTCTTTAAATATTAAAACGATCGTAACGGTTAAGGGAATCTAAAAGAAAAAAAAAATAAGGGATAAAATTCAATGTATCTTGTAAGTGTAGATGAATCATTTCATTAGCTCTATTAAAATTTAGCGATATAATCACAATTTTTTAATCATGTCAATTTAATTTAAAAAAAAACCAAATAGATAAAAATATAAATATTGAAGTAATCAAAAGCATCCACGTGGGAGGTAAGGGTGGTTAATATTATAGGCAAGTTTAGGGCATGAAGAATAGGAAGTATAATGCTATTAATCCTCAAATCATCCCTTGTTTTAAGCTAGAACTTTAACCCTTCCCCTGAAAATGAGCCTAAAAAAACCATTTCAACATCTAGAAATAATCTAAATTCTGAGAAAAACATGCAGTTTCAACCATTAATGGAAAACCCAGAGTCACTAAAATCCCCCCCTCCCCACCTCCAACATTTCATTTCAAACAACCCCACTTCCTTTGCTATCCAATAAATTTATTACATCCAAACTTCCAGTTTGATTGTTCTTCGTTCTTGTTTAGCAGAGGTTGGACAATGGTTCGAGCTGTTGAACAAGAACAAGAAGAAGACAGTAAGAAGCCTAATTTGAAGGGTGCTAAGGACAACAAAGACAGACATGCCAAGAGTCTCAGCGTTGGTACTACTAAGCTTGAAGAGGCGGCTCTTGCAGGTGACCCTGATGCCTTTGAGGAGGTTGTCGCTGCATTCCGAGCCAGAGAACAACAGTTATTACACGGCAAGTTTCATTACTTCATACATACGTACTTTTTTTAACGCTTTAACTTTTTTACACGGCATGTTGTTGTTATGTGTTCAATTGTACGTAATATATATTACGTCATTAATTTGAATGATGCGACACATATCATGTCATCACTTAGATTGACGTTATATATGACATATCATTATTTTTTTATGACGTGACACATGTTATATTATTATTTTGGTGATGTATCACACATTACATCATCAGTGACACATGTCATATTAATAATTGAATACATATAAAAATATCACGTATGTTGATTGTTAGTCAACTAACAGTTTTCATCTAATAACATCTATTTTGACAAAAAAAATTAAAACACTTAGAGCTAAAATATTCTAAAAAAAAAAGAGGCAAAGTGATTATTTATACAAAAGTTGAAGCTAATTTTACTGTTATACCTAATTCTTTCACATTTTTTATATGATTCATGTAAATGAAAATCATGGTATGTTACGGATCTATATTAAGCAAGCATGTTTTTATTGTTAAGTTACTCGATCTTTGTACAATTTTGGTACGATGTTTGATTCAGATATGGAGCAGATGAAGGAAAAGTTTGCTAAATTACTCCTGGGGGAGGACATGTCTGGTGGAGGGACAGGAGTTTCATCAGCTTTAGCACTCTCAAATGCCATTACAAACCTTGCTGGTACTTCCCAACTTCCCTTATTTTCGACATTCGTATCAGAAATATATCGTACGTTCGTATTATACACCGACGATGGAAAGGGTTGTCGAATTTGTGTTCATAATTCATTTCAGCATCTGTTTTTGGTGAACAATCACGGTTGGAGCCGATGTCGCCTGAGAGGAAAGCAAGGTGGAGAAAAGAAATGGACTGGCTATTGTCTATAACTGATCATGTTGTTGAATTAGTTCCTTCTTACCAAAAGAATAAGGATGGTTCCGACATGGAGGTATCTCTTCACCTTCGAAATTCGGACATGTAATTACGAGCTGTAATTCTCTTGGTGATCTTGTTTTTTCTTGTTCAGATAATGGTCACAAAGCAACGTAAAGATCTGCTTATGAACATTCCTGCCCTCAAGACACTTGATAGAATGCTTATTGTAAGGGCATAGATTTTAACTCTATATGTTGTGTTCCATTTGAAGATTGGATGGTCTGATGAGAAGTTAACACTGGTGTGCAGGATTGTCTGGATGCCTTCAAGGACCAAAATGAATTCTATTACCTCTCGAAAGATGCCCCAGACTCTGAACGAAAGAGAAAAGACGATAAATGGTGGCTGCCTACTGTTAAAGTTCCTCCCGGCGGTTTGTCGGAAGCGGCAAGGAAAAATCTGCAGGTTCAAAAGGAATGTGTCACTCAGGTTCTTAAAGCTGCAATGGCCATCAATGCTCAACTCCTGTCAGAGATGGACATCCCTGACAGCTACATTGAATCCCTCCCCAAGGTAAAAGTAACAAAACACGAACGTCGGGTTCATACCGATTAGATTCTCACCTCCGTTATTTTTTTGGTGATGGTTTGTTAGAATGGGAGAGCTAGTCTAGGTGATTCAATCTATAGGAGCATCACAGTTGAATTCTTCGATCCGGATCAATTTCTCGCCAGTATGGACCTCTCATCGGATCACAAGATCTTAGACCTCAAGAATCGGATCGAGGCATCCATTGTGATTTGGAAGAGGAAAATGCACCAAAAGGATAGTAAATCATGGGGCTCTGGTGTTAGCATTGAGAAAAGAGAACTGTTTGAAGAAAGAGTTGAGATCATTTTACACCTTATCAAACATAGGTTCCCAGGACTGCCTCAATCTTCACTAGACATCAGCAAAATCGAGTACAACAAGGTAACTTGTTCGTCAAGTAGACAGACATTCCGAACGGAACATCGGGAGTTTCTTATCGTTTTTATAGGTATCTTCCATAGGCATTGAATTGGCAGTGTGTGTTTGGCATTGCAGGATGTAGGACAGGCCGTCCTAGAGAGCTATTCAAGAATACTGGAAAGCTTGGCACACACGGTATTATCCCGAATCGAAGATGTCATCCAAGTCGATTTCCTGGCACAAGGTCCGCCTGAATCGAAGGAGAACCAGGCTGCGAATCCGAGAGACGAATCGGAGTGCACTAACGGGATGACGCTGTCGGATTTACTTACATGGGGTACAGATCAAAATGAGATTGAAGAAGTAGCAGAGGCACCGGATCCGAAGAACGTGCAAAAGCTAAACATGCTGATAAGCAAGAAGATTTCTTATCTTGATAGCTTGAGTGGAACCAAAACTCCAACATCACGCCATTGATGGAATAGAAGAGAGAAAAAAAACTGGAAGAAGTTAGAGAGAGATAGATAGAGGGTGGTGGATCATGAAATTCCAAAGCATCATCTTTAAATCAAGAAAGGTTTTGTGGTTTGCTTAGCTACAGAAAAATATCATTCTTTTTCCTTTTTTTATGGATTTTGTTTCCGAAATTCATGTCCCTTTAATGTCACACACCCTGACCCTGATTATTAAAACAAAGAGAAATGCTATCCCTTTCGAGTTTTCAAGATTCCGGCATATATAAATTGTCTACATATTCAAGCATTCTTTAATTGTCAAATGCAATATATTATATACTGTGTTTTCATATTCTGTTTGAGAAATACAAAAGCAGATGAAAGCAATGGTGACAATCCTCCATATGGAACAGATTATCCCTTAATTCTCATTCAATCACCATCACTAAATAAATACCGTAAATGTAGGACTTCATAGCTATCATCTAGATGAGAGGAGGAGGGGAGCTCTAGAAGAGGAAGGGGGGAGTGTTACCTAGCGAATTTACAACCAATTACTTAAAAGGAATATAAAAAATTCGGGTTCCAGTCGGATTCAGTTGAAGAGTGAAAACCTTTTGATCCAATCCAAAGATAGTAATGTAATTTCTTCAAATAAATTATGATTAATACTATAGTACCCCATCTCTATTATTTTTTAATTAAGTCCTTATTTTATGTCAGGTCAAATCGAAATTATATTATGAAATTCGGGTCGGATTGAGGATATATATTTTTGGGTCAAGTTGGGTCAGGTGGTGGATATATATATTTTTTGGGTTGGGTTGGATTCGGGTGGAGGATATATATTTTTCAGGTTGGGTCAGATTGACCAAAAATCCGACCCATCCCGACCCGTTTCCATCTTTATTTGTCAATAGATTAAGAAGGTTCATAACAGACTTTATAATTACCCCAGACTAGTAAGAAAATTTTCAAATCAATTTTTAATAATCAAAATGGCACTTGTTATCTAGTTGATTTTCTTTGTTTTGGACATTCAGAATGGATTTGGATATGTGATTTATATTTGTAGATAATTTTCCTACGTCGTTCTATTTTGATTTACGGTGTGTATATCAGTGGATTTTATACTCGATAAAAGTAAAAAAAAATCCTCTCTTAGATACTCAATAAAAGTAAAAAAAAAACTACTACTATTAGATAAAAATTATAATCCTCTTAGATAAAAATTCCTCCTCTTAGATGGGTGCTCTATTGATTGGATCCCCTTCTAAGGAAACTGAGGGTTGGTAAGAAATGCTTTGAGTTAGTAGTAGCTTTGAAAATTATAATCATATAAAGGTTATTTTTATCTTTTGTTTATGGTTGTTTGGAGTAATTTTTTACAACCACACAGCCAACCGACACCACAAGATGATTAGCTTAGTGTCACATTCTCTTTTTCAAAGGGAGTTCATATTTTAGCAACTTTGGTTGTGCTTTGTTGAATCAGATTGATTACATATTTCTTAACTTGATGTGAACAGGTGGCGAATATGTTTCTGGGTATCTGCTGTTCCTCCTGCTTTACTTGCCCTTTCTATTGAGTTTTCTCCAGAGAGTCCCCATTGGCTTTTCAAGGTAATTTTCTCTCCTTTCATATTCAGTAATGAATAACTTTACATTTCCTCATTACTTCTTCAACATCAGTCTAGTGTAATCTTGTCCTAATAAAAATTTAAATCCATGTAAAGAGATGCAAATGTTATTAAAGTTGTGAAAAAGAAAAAGAAACTGCAAATTATATTCACATTTTGTATTGTTATATTCCTTGAAACTGTGAGCAGTTAGCTTCAATGTTCATTTAGAATCATATGTGAGTTTCTCATACGAGCATGTGTTTGAGTATATTCAAATTTTCTAAAAGTTTTCCTGCTATTGGAGGATCTTTAGAGGTCATAAGTTAGATTTTTATGTATTTTGCATTTGCACCATCACTTTAAATACTATGTTATTTCAATTGCAGTTAGATAAAGGGATCTGAATATATGATTGTTTGGGAGTTGAGCATCTTTGTAAAAAAATTGAACTGAGCAAAACTTCGATTTTAGAGGATGGATTTAAATATGTATAAGATAGTTAAGATCTCATAAATATCTACATGTGTTCTAGGTTTTGAGATTGGACAATGGATATATTGTTTTAAACACTCTTTTGAGGCTGAAAGTAATACACTATATTGTTATATCACCTCTTCTTAGCGAGGGTGAATTTCACCTTTTTCTTTTCCTATATATGCTTGTTTCCTTTTTATCTATTAAGCAAAAACAAAAAAAGGGACTAGAGCAGTTCTATATCTTTTCTCTTTGTTTTGCTTCAAGTAGATTTTTCTCAATAGACTCTTATAGGCTTTATTATTCAGAAAGGAAGAGCTGCTGATGCTGAAGCAGCATTTGAGAAACTTTTCGGTGGACCATATGTCAAGGGTGCAATTGTTGATTTGTCAAAGTCAGACAGAGGGGATGAGGCAGAAACAGTCAAGTTGTCAGAGCTACTTTATGGCCATCATCGTAAAGGTCAACATACTGATCATTTTCTTTAAGATTTTTAAGTCATCGAATCCTATACTTTTGTTTCTAAATGGCTACTTTTTTAACTTCTCCATTTGCAGTTATTTTCATTGGGTCGACTTTGTTTGGTTTACAACAGCTTTCTTGTATAAATGCTATTTTTTCTCCTCTACCGTCTTTAAGAATGGTGGTGTAACATATGTGTGGGGTTTAACAATTTGATAGGTATATATGGCTACATTACCATGTAATCAACTTGTGCATCATGGTGGAGTATTTCTTTAGTTTTGGTACTTGTATATCTATTCAGGATCATTTGCTGCATTGCTTGTGATGGATAACCTGGGAAGGAAGGTACTTCTCATTGCAAGTTTCTCAGGCATGGCACGGAACAAAAGTTTTACTGGTTTAATTGTTTGTTCATGCTAGCAGCAGCATATATATGATATGAAGTTTCTAATATGATTGTGTTGTAGCTGTCTACAGTTTGTGTAATTTGGCATCTAATGGTGTGATCCTCTATGAGAAACCATACAAACTATTTGGATATTGTTGGACCTTAAAATATGCGTCCTTTTTAACAATTAGGAGTGCGTAGTTACTGTTCTGCAGCATTATCTTATACATTAAAACAACCGTTATTATCTAATGCAGTTTGCTGTTGCCATTGTCTTGTGAGAAGCTAAGTACTACAAATCCAAAAATATAGAGGCAGTCATATGATATTCCTAGAGGATGGATCTATTTCTGATTGTTAGACATGAACTACAAAGCCCAAAAGTATAGAGGCAATCATGAGATACCTAGAGGATATATATATTTCTGATTGTCATGATATTGTGGTACATACTTTCCATCTAATGTATTTTCAGATTGCTTTGATGCTATAGTAACATATTTTCTGACTGTTAGGCTTTGCTTGGTTGACTGGAAGGGATGGAAGGAGGGAGTGAAAAAGTGGAAAGAAAATAAATTTTGAGCGTGCTTCATTGGAAAGAAAAAATGAGAGGGATAATCATTTTCCATCATTGTGTATAAAAACAAATCATTCCAACTTTAAAGGAAAAGAGGAGAGAAAATGTGAGATATATAAGTTGGTTCAAATTTATGAACATTTCAAAAGGTTTTTTTTTTATTTGCACTCATTTTTCAACTCTACCAAGCAAAGAATGGAAAGAAAATTACTTTCATCTTTCTACTTCTCTACCCTTTTAATTTTCCATTGTTCCAATTTTCGCCTTAGACTTGAACTTAACAATTTGTATGATTTGTAGTATAAGGCTGACACTTTACTTGATCTATGGTATGTACTTTTATGTTTCAGGCAGTGACAATGGGTCTTCAGGCTGCTTCAGCTCGCTCCTTAGTCTCGAGCAGCAATAAAGTTTATCTCTCTGTTGGATGATCAAAATGTTTCTTAAACCCTTGATTCTTAGTGTCACTTGAGATATATTAAATTTCCTCTTCATACATAATGAGATAATGGACATCTGATTGAATCTAAAACGCATCTTTGGGTTCCATAGACCTTGTTTGGGAATAACTTGAAGGCTATTCAAAGGAAACATGTATTTAGTAATGGCGTGGCATTCAATTAAAACAAACTTGATGATGTGACAATGCAGGTTTGTGTTGGCCTTTGCTGCTGGTGCAGGACCAGTCCCTAGTCTCCTCCTATCGGAAATGTTTCCCGGTCGGATAAGAGCCAAGGCAATGTCAGTTTGCTTGACTGTCCATTGGGTAAACCAGTTATAACTCTTACCGGAAGCTATTGCTAGACAATGGGATTCTATTTCTTAAATTATTCTAAGCTCTGGGTTGGGTCTGATTTTAACAGGTGATAAGTTTCCTAGTCGGTCTGTTTTTTTTTTTTTTTTTGCGGTTACTGGAACAGATCGGACCGTTAGTCCTGGATACTATTTTCGCCACCTTCTGTTCGGTGGCGGTGATTTTTGTGAAAAGAAACGTGATGGAAACTAAAGGAAGATCACTTCAAGAGATTGAGATCACCTTTCTTACGGCAGAGTAGAGGTATTATGAGGCATATATGTATGTCATCAGTTTCATGTAATTCTCTTAACCATAACAGAACTCTAGTTTTCAGACCCAAACGCCTACTTGAATTGACCAGGAAGAAGTGGCTAAAACATATTGTTGTTATTTTGCAGAGAGGGGTTCAGTTCATTGGAACCAACCCCAAGATCCAAAAACAGCAGGTTTCCTGCTGCAAATATGGGTATCGTTCTAAAGACTGCAATTTTGTTTACTGTATCATGATAATGGTACCACTTCAGCTGGTACTCCAATCATAATCTTTGAAACTATTCCATAGATTTAAATTTCAGTATTTGTTATAAAAAAAATTATAACGAAAATGGGCACCTTATGTATAACCCAAGATTGTATTACTTTCATTTATCATTTTCTATTTAGTGGCAAATAATTTACTGTCAATGACAAATAAGGTTTCAAATTATCTTCTTCTTCTTCTTTTCATTTTACTGGATGATATATTGATCGAGGAAGATTTCTTTTTCCAAAGGTCATCGTTAATACTTTTTTCCATTATTCCTTTTATATATATATATATATCACTTTATCCCGTTTCAGTAATCAAAAAAATATTATTCTTATTAAAAGTTGTGAGTTCAATTCTAAAAGGTCAAAGTTTGAATAACTACATCTATAATGTATGTGATATTATCAATAGTTCAGAAAATTTTAAAACAGATAGTACATTATAATCTCGTCAGTTTAACTTAAAGATTAGCCTTAAGATTAACAATATTACCCAGCAAATGTCACAAATATCGAAGTGTTAATATTCACATAACATTTACCAAATAAAATATTTATTTTAATTTATATTTCCAACTCACAAAATATAATGTGAACTAATATGATAAATTGTAAACAATATAAATATAAAAATTATTTCTCAAAATTGAATAACGAGGATAAACTATATAAAATATGCTTAATATAAAAATAAGTGTTTAAACTATGTTTGAAAAGTGTTCTAGTGTATAAAGAATTTTTCATTAAAGTTAGGTGTTTAGAGTTTTTTACGTTACACTTTTAGGTGTTCGGACGTTAACCGTCGTTAAAAATTTCTGTTAAGTGATACGTGTCACGTTCTGATAATTTTAAGAATTTATTTAAAAATAATAATAATAATATTTTTTATTTTAAAAAAATCCAAACAACGCGTGCTCCCCCCTCCCACTCTCCTCTCTCCACCGTCCTCCCTCTCCCCCTTCTCCCCCATTGTCGTCAGCTTCGACGTCGACCCCTAATCAAACTCCCATTAGCCTTTCATCGTAATCTATCACTGTTTTCCAAGGAAAAACATTCAATGGTTTATTGGATTTTAAGCCACCACATCGCCATTCTTCATCGATTCCGATCGATCCCCAACGTCCATAAGCCACACCACCATTACCATACAATTCTTGCTTTTCCTCCACCATTCCATCCTGGGGAACAAAATTTTAAAAGATTAGGAGTTTAGATATTAAGGATTTGGATGACGATATATTAGTTGACAGCATCAAGTGAGTAATTTTTTTTGACGATGGCAATAATTGGTAGTAGAGTTAAAATGAGAGATTTTTTGGAGTTTTTTTTAATAATTTCACTAGAAATTTAGATTTTTTATAAATAAATTAAGTATTTTTAACTTTCTTTCTTTTTTAAAAAAAAATATTTTAATTATTAAATTTTTTAATATATATATATATATAACAGTAGTCACCTAATAGTATAACTAACAAAAAAAAAATATGAACACAAAAATATTTTCTAAAGAATAGTTTAAGCAAATATTAAGCCTATAAAATATAAAAGTAGCGTAAATGGCATGCATACGAAACCAGCTCAAAATGTAGAAATTTGGGTAAATATGTTACAACATTTTGTCTGTGCTAAATAGCAGGGAAGAATGAAAAGCTAATGTCAGTTGTGATGGAGGTTTGAAAGAGATGATAATTAATTAATTGCACGGGCATAGAAAACTACTACAAAAAAAAAGAAAAATAATAAAACAGATTTTAACTTAATTTTTACAATCACAGTAAATAATACCTTCATCCATATGCTCCAACTTCTGCATGAAATGTCGGCTAATCTTCTTCTCCCACACATTAATATCAATTTCTCTTGTATTTGATTCTGCAAGCAAAATGGACATGCATTACTACATACATTCATCCATCTCTTCATCGCCCTTCCAATCATAATGACTCTGGGCTTGTAGAGGGCCTAATTCTACTAGGCATTCTTGCTTGTTCTTGATATCGACCCCCAAACTTATGACTCGAGGTACTCTTAGGCGTTATCGACATTTTCTGCAATTGACCATCAAATTCATCCATATCGATACCATTCATCATATCCTCATTTTCATTCTCATGATCCTGAACCAACTCATCATCACTGCTGCCTTCGTCATCGTCAGCGTCAGCATCATCGTATGTTGGTTTTACCATTGACCAGAACACAAACATAGGTCGGATGAAACTTCATTTTTCGGAAGTGAGAAAAACATCACAAAAAAAAAAAGTAGCACTTGGTCAAGCAATGCAGGAAGAAGGCAAGATTATAACAAACAATTATGTGCCCTAAACCATTCACAAATGGAAGAATGCAAACCTGTCACTTCTTTTCAGCAAGCACGGGTCGAAGGGGAAAAATGTGTCGAGCCTTTCGAGGCCGCCAAATGCCCTTGAAAGTTCTGACTCTAGCAGCCCATCAAAAATGAATGTTTCACTCACAGTGAAGAGAGATGCTGCTTTCGCCTGTCGGAGAAACTCCTCCACTACAGATGGAAGGCATACCTATGCATGATAATCTATTGGTATTAGACTCAAAAAATTAACCAATATTTGAGATGGATTCTAACCTGCTCATGATTAAAAAACACTATTCCTTACCTTCAAAGGATTCAATTTATGCTTCAAGACTTGTTCCAGTGGCATGAGAAGTTGTAACTTCATACGCGGAACATTCACAAAAGCTTTCATTCGAAAGCAGAGAACATACATAATTGCCTGCAACAGATAGTAATAGCTTCAGCTTTCCTAACAACGGAGTAATGACCAACACATTTTAGCATCTGTTGTTTCAAATAAAGTATAAGCCTTCAAGAGTTTGAACACCAACCTGGCACCCAGAATAGAAAACTCGATGAGCATTTGGATTTATATCACCATCATGGGTTTCAGAGTATTCCAAACACCAATCCACCAACCTAAGTTTCACAAAATTAAGATGCAAAACGTTAGCAATGAAGATTCCATTTTCATTCAGACTATCTATGTTTGCCAGAACAGTGCTAGAAGTTGGTTGAATAAGATGAATCTCAAAAGGCTATAATGTAGAACCTTTTTAGCATGCTACAAATAAAAGAGGCAGACAGAAACTTCGCTCGAGATAAGTAGCTAGCAAGATAAGCTACAGCACTCATCCTGCATAAAAAAAAACTAATTAGCATAAGAGATTATTTGTCCCATTCATGTTTTTTTGCCTCTATTCAGGATTTTGATTGACAGTTTCAAGTTTAAGTAGTTTAAATCCTACATTCAATCCAGAGCAGAAAAAAATTCAGGGAGACACGTCAGAGTGAAGAGGATATTTAGTTTTGTTAAGTTTCAAACTAAGAATTAGACTGCTGATCAAGGAAAAGAAAACATATATGGGAAAAGGCCTCTATTTTTGAGGCAACAAGATGAAAGTGTTCCATCGATTTCCAGTTGTTCGAGAGACCAGTATAATAGGCATTGTTTTAAAGGTAACATTATAGGCTTTCCAGTTGATCAAGAGACACATAAAATAGGCCTTAATTTCTTGGTAGTATGTACAGGCTTTCAAAGCATTCACCGAAAAATCAAAACTTTCCTTGCGCAAGGACACATAAAATTCTTGGGCAGGAAATGAACAGACAAGTTAAAAATATTTAGCTTAGAAACCGGCAGAATAATTTAACATCCCCTTTTTATTTTGTTAGAGATTACAAATGGCAACATGTTGGAGCATGTCTTAAAAGACTACAAAACCATGCCACATAATGTGTTGTTCATGTTGCTACTCTGTATTTCAAAGTGTGCTAGAATGAGATCCCAACTGCTCAACCCCATATAAATAGTGCAGGAGGCACTGATTCACACAGGAGAGGGTAAAAGGACATAGAAGGAAAAAGAAGATTAGTAAATACATGATTGGAATTTTAAATGTACTTAAAACTCAAGGAATATATGCCTACAAAAGACGTCTAATATTCATTAAAGCTTTCAGATAATAAAAATTTACCTGGTTGGTTGGGGCTGTGAGTATTTGACAAATAATTCTACCAGCATTGTGGCAAATCTCATACCACAGTTTTCAGGATCTAATGCGCAAGCATAGAATATAACAAACTGCAACATTAGGGTAAAGACAAAGCTAAATTACTTGCAAGTCATACAGATCTTGTTGCTTGTATTAAGAAAAATAAAAAAACAAAACAAAACAAATATTACTTAGATGCTCACCAAGAATTAGGAACGGAAATCTCAATAAACTAAGTATTACCTGAGCAAATTTTGACTTGTAGGCACTCAGAACTGTTATCTGAAACGACTGGAGAAGTGTTTCAAATACCTATGCAGCAATTAAGCGAACTTAAGGATGGGCCAGATAAAAGGATGCAGCATGAAGAGGAGATGGAAAGATTAACTTCAAAAAATACCTTAGCTAAGCGGCCTTCCCTTTCACAAGATTCAAAATGTTCAAAAGTTAAAACCAGTAGGTTATCTAGCAGTTCAGCAATGCTGTTTCCAGCCAGACTCTTACGGCTTAACCGAAACTGCAAAATGAGCTCCATCATTTTTACATCATAAACTGGTTACTAGAGTTTTAGAACTATATTAAGGTACAAGGTGCAGATTAAGAACCAGAAACATGTTGACTATACCTCTCCAACATCAGGCTCATCATTTTCCTCAATGTCATCCATATCTTCAAGCTCCATCTCAAATATGCCTTTGCTGAAATCATCTTGCAAAATGGCATCCCATCCTATCTCCACCTATATGAAACTCCAATAAACTCATCGGCACACAAAGCCAGCAATTTTTTTTTCCAAGGAAAATTCAATTCACTTACATCTAGTTCTATCAGCCGGTCCACCACAGCCATAAGCATTGTGCTTCCAACGAGTTCTCCAATTTCACCACTCTCTAATTTTAACATGTTCTCCACATATATCACAACCGCCTACAGAAAAAGTGGATAAGCTTCAGATTCAATGTTCTTAACAAGTTTCAATAATAAAAACAGGCAGTTGCAGGCACAAAAGCAACAGAAGCATGATATAATTGTTCAGGAAATTGCATTGAAGAACTTCACTAAAACCAAATCAAACAGACATCTAGCAGAAGATCAATGGTGTCTTACATTGTCATCCATGTGGGGACTAGAATTGATTGAATAAGCACAAAGCATAACAACATTGACTTTTAAAGATGGTATATACTCCAACCAGAACAGAAAAAAATTGATGATAAAAGGACATCAAAATTCCCTACTGAGAAAATTCAACTTACTCGGTCCTTGTGATAAATTGTTGGCATTCCTTGCAGAACTACAGTCAATAATCTCAAGGGAGCAAGAGGGACATAATCAGTTATCTTTTTGAAAGCCAAGTGTACCCGAGAAAGAACTTGGCCCTTCCTCTCGAGACTGCGTGGCAGTTTTAGTTTATCCAAGAAATAAGGTGGTGGGGTGAAATTGCTGACAAGCATGCGAAGACATAAATCAAGATACTTCCCATTCGAAATGGCCTGCAATAAATGGAATATACTTTATAAGAAAAGGTAAAGACATGAACTTATATAAAAAAGGCAGGGAAGTAGTAGCACATACGAGGGACACTATGAGTTCGGTTAAAGCATCTGCAACATGAGGCCCATAGTTCCACATGCTCATACTAAAAATCTGTACGAATTGCCAAGGAACAAGTAAATAGGGGTGAACTGTGAACAAACCAAAAAAAGGGTACGACGAAAAAGATAACTTACAGCAGAAAGGAGAGAATCATGATGAGTAATGTCTATAGAGGATACTGCCCCGGCTAGAGCCTTCAAAGTAGTCTATGATGCATATAATTCGTAAGTGAGAATAAAGAATTAAGCTTTTATACCCCTCAAAAAGGATAGTATGTATTTAAGGAATAAAGAGAAAGAGACCTCGAGTAAGGCGACTTCATCAGGAGCAAGATACTTGGAATGGTGCATGACCCCAACAAGCTGATCATAACTGTTGCTATCACCCTGAAAAGATAAGAACAGTTGAGTTAAAGAACACAAGATATAAGTAGAAAGAGGGGTTTGTTTGTGGGCTTACGGATAGTACGGATGTGAGGGCATTCTTGACATGAGAAACTATTTCAGAATCAGTGAAATTGAGAACGTTGTCTTCCTCCATCTCTGGGTATTTCGGCAATTCCAATCCCATACTCTTTCAGAAAAAAAAAATCAACAAATTAAACAGAAAAAAAAACACAGCAGAGTGATGCAGAAGAAGAGAACAGAAAGGAATCTTGAGGTTAAGTTTAGGGTTTCAAATCAAAATACCTTGTGTTCGATTTGCGGAAACTTGAAAACAGAGAGAGGGTTTGGGTGAAGAGAGTGGAGGAGGAGAGGAGACTCGCTTGGCGGCGGCGGGATGTATGAAAGTGTAGGTCGGCAATTTTAAAAGGAAACTACAATTAACCCTCGCATCCCGAAGGGTTTTTTATGAGAAAACAACTACTATCTTATTTAATTAACATACTGTAAAATTAAATAATTTAAACTAAATTTATGATTACACTATAAAATTATATTAGTTAGATGAATCTTTAATAATATATTTAAATTTTATGGTTTTATATACTGTTTCTATTTTTAAAAAAATAAAAACATTTTCTCACATAGATATAAAAACTTTTTTCAAGTTTTTGTATGATAGGAGATTGATGTTGAATCAAATATGTGTATCTACTTTTTAAATATAGTTTTGCACATTTACTTTTATTTTAATTAAAATTATCGATATTATTAAAATAAATTAATTTTTTTATCATTACAATATTATAATAATAAAACAACAAGCCATTGTTAAAAAAATAAAAAATAATACGAATTAATTTATCTAGTGATTAAAAAATTGTTATTTTTCCGAGAAGCTAGAAGGCGAGCCTTCTAGCTTTATAACACTTGAAAAGGATTAAAGAGGAAAGCTTCTCACAAAGTCCTAAGGTGAATGGTTAGGATTTTGTAGAGAAAATTCATTAAAATCCAATGGCTCTTATTTTTTTCTGTCAATATAAAATTATAAATTTTTGGAGTAAATTGTGAAAATTGCATGATGTGAAAAAATTCTTAATACTTCATAAAATACTTACTTTTGATTATTACTTTTTATAATATTTTTACATTCAACGTTTCGTTATGAGATAAAAAAAATCTTCTATATGGATATGAACTATTAGTTAACAAATTTTTAACGTTTCAAAATATCAGTCTTTTATCCTAAAAATAAATATTAGAATGCCAAAATGATCCCAAAAAAATAATGATTAAAGTGACTATTTAATAAAACATTATGAAACTTTTTACTTTAAAATAAAATATTGATGGCAAAATACTTAAAAAAAAGTTAAAATGGTTGTTTGATAAATGTTATCAGCTTTTTATCTAAAAATTAAATATTAGAGTTAGAATACTTCAAAATAAATAAATAAGAATTAAAATAATTATTTTAACAAATGAGATAAGTTTAACACTGTGTTTTAAAAAATTAAAAAAAATGTGATGTTTATAATTTATAAGCATGCTTTTGAACAGGTTTGCAAATTTTAAAATATTCATATTGAATTTTTTAAAGGTGGGGTTTTTCATTTAATTTAAAACTTCGAAATGAAATTCAACAAAGGCATCATGATAATCTAGTAGCAGCGAAGAAGAAAATATAAACAATTAAATATTTTTTAATAATTAGTGTCTATAGAATATTTTAAAAGTTTAAATAAGATAATTTTATAACAACAATAGATCATATATATATATAATAATTACACGAATCAAATAGTCTTGGTGGTAAAGAAATTATTGTCATTTTTTATCCGAGTTCACAATAGATGTTAAGAGTGTGAGCTTTGAATGTCAAAAGATTAAGGATTATCTTTAAACATATAGTGTATTGTACTTACCATGAATTAATAAAAATATATATACAATAATTAAATATAGAATTAACACTTGTATTGTATCGATTGTTTGTAAATTGTACCTACCAAATGGTGGCTTTTACACGGTGTTGCAATGCATTAAGCCTTCCCTTAAAAAGTTGAAGTTATTAAATTGAGTACGTTGAGTTTGACCCAAATAATTTAGGATAAACTACATATTCAATCACCACGTATTTCAATGATTTCATTTTGGTCACTTAATTGTTTTCTTTAATCATATTTAACATTACATTTTGGTCACACACAATTAAAAATTTAACGATGATGATGATATGTCACTATAAGATAATTTTACGTCATCACTAAAAAATTAAAAATCATCACATCATCAATTTTGTTTATTTTTTAACGATATATGATAAAAATGAATAAAACGTCACATCAAGTATGATTTTAAAAAAATAATCTAGCGACCAAAACAAAACATCACATCAAGTATTTTTTATAATTATTAATGTTTCAAATCTATTTTTTTTTATTTTTTTTACATATTCACCTCAATTATTTGTGTGATAAAATTAAGTAATTTTAAGTTATCTCACGAAACACAATGGAAATACAAAAGAAAAGGTAAAAAAGGTGATTATAAAAAAGAATGTGAAATTGTTAGCTCCAGCCTTCAATTGATTATGATTTAAGCTCTAACTATGTGAAAAACTCAAATGTGTGTTTTATTTAAAAATAAAATCATATATAAATATATATATATATATATATATTAATAGTGTCTTAATCAAATATATTTAAAAGAATTGTATTATATATTATGAATATTTAATAGACATATATCATTCATTTGTAAGATAAGATATAATGTTTAAAAAATTAGACACGATGCATTAACTCATCAAACAACATAAATTATTAATTATTAAATTTTAAAGAAATAATTTGATCCAAAGTTGAAAAAAAACAAAGATATAAGTAAATCAAACAATATATTGTTTAAAAAATGTAGGGGAAATCAGGAGAATGTGGAATTTTGGTGTAAAATTAAGGAGTAGAAACAGAAAAGCATGCATCTCTTGTTGCCTTTACGGTGTGTTTGGTTCACGGAATGTAAGATTACCAATGGAAATGTATGATTACCAGGGAATAAGATTACTGGGAATGTTGGATTTTGTGTTTGGTTGGCTTAGCAGGAATGTAAGATATCGTGTTTGGTTAAAGGATTAAAAGATTATTAGAATGTATATTTGACTAAATTGTCCTTATTATATATTTGTTTTTTTAACAAGTTGGAATATATATATATATATATATATATTTTAAAAATTTAAATTCATAAAATTTATATAATTTTTTTTACAAAATTAAAAATATAAAAAGGTTTAATGAAATGGTAAAATTTTATTTGAACCCCTGAACTTCATATAAAATTTTAATTATAGATTTTTTTTTTGTAAATCTAAAATAGTTTAAGGATAAATTTGTAATTTAACCTTCGTATAATTTTTATTATTCAATGACAGAAGAATGATATTTTTGAAAGAAAAAAAAATTAAATACATTTTAGTCAAAAACGCCAATAATCCAACAATACCTAAGGAAAGGGAGGTAATGACATTCCCCGTAATATATCCCAAAAAATTAATTATTAGTAATCTTACATTACCGGGAATGGAATTCTCAGACTAACAAAACATGAGAATGTGGATTCTATTCGCATGAAAATCTCACATTCCCTAATCCAAACACCCCCTCATAATAGGATGACCGTGAAAATGAAGTAGTTTGGCACGGCAGTTAAGTGAGTAACGACTCAATCGTTACTGTTTATCTCCGTCAAAGTAAACGCCGTTATGGTCCCCCCAAACACCCTAGCCTTTTCAATTACAAAAGGCGTCGGTGACAGTCGGATCGATCTGCGCGCCTCTTCTTGTCCGCCGGGGATTTCCATTTACACTATTTTTATTATTCACGACGGAAAATATATAAATAAAAAGTAAAATAACAAGGCGAACTGCACAAAGCACTGAAATGAATTTTAATTTATTTAAACGTAATTATTCTAAATAGAAATTTAAATATCATATAAAATTACACAAATCAAAGTAAAAGATTTTGATAGATTTATAATTTATCTTGATTATTTCTTTAACAAGAGGAGAAAAAAAATTATTACTGAATATTACATTCAAAACTTAAGAGAAAAAAGTACGTCGAATGATGATTTTTCATAACATATTTCAATTGATAAGTAAGAAAAAAATTATTTATAAATTGTTATATTCTATTGGAAATTAACGAAAGTCTGGCTTGGACATATGATCTTATAATCTCAATGGATTATATAACTCAAACAATTATGATATCAAATTTTATCATATTTCGATCAATATGTTAACTTCTAATTCATATGGCCGTGAATTTTTTACAGAAACGGATGAGTTTGAAATATACGAATAATTGAATGATCTCTTTGTAACTTTTAATAGTCGATAAATTTAATAAAACAACATATTATAAAGTGAAATCAAACCAATAAAGTGAACAACCCAACCTCTTTGTTTGAAGCTTTTACTTGGTGAAGCTTTTCTTCCTCTAGTTTCAAAACCACAACAATATACTACAGGAAAAATATAAGAGGATAATCTAAAGAAAGATAACATAATTTAAGGCTAGAGAAAGGTACGAAAAAAATGTTATAATACTCATAACATTTTAGGTTGGACATAACCTAAATATTATTTTTTTAACATTTTTCGGTTGAAAACGTTTTTTATACCATTTTCGATTGCTAATCGAAAATATTATCTTGTTCATAACATTTTCAGTTCAGTCAAAAATGTTAAAAATTAAAACATTTTAGGTTGCGTCCAATCTAAAATCTAAAATATTATAATTTTTATAATATTTTAGGACGGGCTCATTTTATGTTGTTCATTAATCTTAAATTAGGTTGTTGTACAATAAAACTACTCGATCATAGGGGTTTTAGAAATGATCTGACGCAGATATAGATATAAACCTGTGTGGGTAGAGTTGGATTGGATCAATACGGTGGATTGTGGATTCATCGCATGCAGTTTCAATTCCACTCGTTCACCATCATTAAATGACTCATGTGTTACGAAGACACAAGATAAATTTAGATATTTTTTTGCAAGTAATCTCGAGACCTTCAAACGCATCAAGCAAATGGGTATTCGATTAAAATGTATAAATTTTTAATAATAGAGAGATTTAATAAAATAGTGTTTTATAATTGAAGATTATTTGTATAATTTACTCTAAAAATAATTAGTAGGAAAGTAGTGTAAAAATGAGTAGTTTTACCTCAAAAAAAACTCTAACAATGAAATATTACATGTCAGACACTCTTTCTCTAAATATTATTGATTTAGCATCCTTTCTGATAAAACACGAATCATGAGGTGCGCCTTCGCAGGTTTTGTCAGAGCTGGCGCCACGGTGGAAAAGCGAGGATCATGAAACGCGCGTTT